CAAGTGCAGGACTGAAACGAAAGATAACGAAAACAGCCTATGACGATCGTTCAGAGAAATCCGTCTTCACTTGGTTCCGGGACTTGGTTTTCCCAAGAACTTTATTATCGCTACATTTTACGGACATTTTGAAACATGTTGTAACATTCCAGCATGCAACATTTTTATTACAATGTATTACTGATTAAATAAAAATGTTTTTAATGACTCTACATGTATTATTGTTTGATTTCATTACAGTCATGTGCATTAGAATTTGTGTGTAGTGAGCCTGTAAACTTGAGCACGCCCACACAAGATCGCATATCCGAACTGTTTGCATAACCGAACAAAAAGCATGTCCCCCTAACAGTCCGGATAATCGACGTTCTACTGTACTTGGAAAATAAACTGGATGCATGGGACAATGTTTTCCAGAAATGCTCAAGTTTTTATATAGATGATACTAAACAGTGAGGGTGGGAGGGCCTAAAACACCTCCCCAAAATCTTCATGGCCAGGTCAGGGCCATCTCAAGGATCCAGGACAAGGTCATCTTAAGGTCACATATTGATTACATGTGTATTGGGGGTCAGGAGGTCACCCCTCCGTCAAGATCTTTCAAGGAAAAGGTCAACTCAAGATCACATGTCACTTTGTCATATTGTCTAACTTTGTCATTCTCAATTCAGTCACATGTGCAGTAACCAAATAATGCAAAAATATATTCATGTTTCAGCTTCAATTTTCTGTACACCCACATCATCAATTGTACATATCCATTCATTACTGTAGAATACTTTATTTTCACTTGGAATTTATTTTCGCTATTTTCGCTGAAGGGATGAATCTGTGAAAATAAAATCCAGCGAATATACATTTTTTCCTATATTTCACATTAAGCTCATCAAAAATCAGTGAAAATAAATTCCATACAAAACGTCCAAAAAGCCTTTTCAGCGAAAATTAATTCCAGCGAAAATAAAGTATTCCACAGTATATACACAAATACATTACCTATACGGGATATGCCCTTCCAGTGACCATTGCCATAATTACTAAACTGTCATAGATACCACTTCTCCTATCCACCTAGTAACTGCCACTGCCCTCTGCACTTTTTAATTTGGACCGTTACTGACCACAAGGTCGCTTGTTCAATCTCTTTCAAACTTGGGTATTAAACATTGAAATTTCTCTTAAAATTGTCTTCTTCTTGTGGTTATTATTATTTATTTTCGCAACCAAGGCGATTACATCGCCACTAGTGCAACTAGTGCAAAAGAGCAGATGTCACCAGCAGTGTTCTCCCCAGCATTCAATTTGTGTGCGGGGCCGCCACACTGCTTTCCCTGCCCGCCACTGTGGTCGCGAGCCGCCACGGTGATTAGTAAGACTGCCACACTGCTTTTTTCATTGTTCATCCTGTGAACTGTATTACGAAATATAGAAAGAAATACGTAGCTATCAGGGATCTTGCCACGCTTCCGACCAGGACTATTGTCCGACGTACCGACCGACACGCATCCTGCCAGTCGTGGATTATAATTTGTAAATAATAGACGTACTCGCACGATGTGGTAGTGGTGTATAAACAATACAAGTTAATTTTGTAAAATTAGCACCTCTTTGTTCGTAAGTAAATACTTTGACGATCGACGCAGTCTTTAGGTTGAAAGCTAACATTTTTTCAAAATCAATTCCACCCTGATATAACATGGGCAAAGCGGAGTTCACGATCACTTTACGCTACTCAAGAAAAAAACGTGTTTATTGCGTGATTGGGTAAAATACATTTGAACTTTCTAACATCGTGAATCATGTAAAAACTCTTCTTTCAAGACTTCTTTTACCTTTT